CTCGCACTGATCAGCTTACAAAAAACTCTGATGTTAAGGCTACATTGGTTTTTCCAGAATTTCACTTATTTGAGCTTCCTTGCAAAAAGTTTATAGCAGATAAGTTCTGGCAAAATTTTGAACTTCCTCTACTATTTGTTTGCACCTAGAAGGCCAGTGCTGGCCTACGGTTTGGTTGTAAATCGTTTTTATGGCATCCACCTGTGACTTTCATCAAAGCCGCTTCAACATTCTCATCCAAAGCTGTGCAGAAGGGCTTCGATTCCAACGAATGGCATTTCTTTGGATGTTTCCTCCATTGTTTCCTTCCTTAATACAACTTTTTCAAAGTACATTTGCTTCTGTTCGTGTATTGCTTTTCATTTTCTTAGCAACCAATAGTTTTCTAAAATGAGTACTCGACGTAGTTTGGTTTTCGGAGAACAAGCGAAGAACCTTGCTGATTTCTTCTCCTTCTAACCTCCTTCTGTTCGTTGCATGTATTTGTTTCCACGTAAGTTTTCTGGTGGCACCGCATGGCTGTTTACTCGTAAAGTTGAAGGAAAGAGAAGAATTCGCCGTTATCTACTGAAATGTAACGCTACGTTTAGACATAGAAAAGGTAGTTGGCCAAGCCGCACTTTCGCTGACTGGTGGGGGTTTTTGCCAGCCGGCACGAGGCCTATAATTTCGAGTCTCAGGTGTGTGCAGCGCACAGTGAATGAGTGAAACCACATGCGTCCGGGTTCTGCCGACCCAGTCTGGGAACATCGCCTCTCACAACATGAATTCAGTTCACTACATGCTCACTATGACTATGAAAATCTCTTTAAAACATCGGTTATCTTTTGTGAAAAGTGAGAACTTTATTCTGATTCGGAAGTGGTGGCTTTTCTTCTTCATGGAAAAACAAAACATTTATTTCGAGTTCTGTTCGTCGCCATATATTCAGTTTTTTTAGGCTTACACTTGTCTATCGATGTTCCATCAGAACATACTCAGAGCATGATGAAGTAAAGGAGATCGATAATATGATTCATATCGATTCACAATTCCATTTTCTATCCATAGTTAGCCGTCAACAATGTCAGAAATTCCCACAAAAGCCTGTTTTGTTTTTTTCAAATTTAAACCAGTGGTTTGTTATCATGGCAGTGCCTTTTGAAAGCAAACTAGAAAGCCTTTCTGTTTTCTGATGGGCACAAAACTTCTACTTTGCAGATAGCATGAATGTGCCGAAGAGAGACGACAGTTTCAATTGAGGTGTTGAATCTGTGAATACCGTACTCGCAGTGAGACCTGAACAGCAAAGACGTTCCACCGGAATGCTCCGAAAATCGATGCGATGCATCTTGCGCACTCGTCTTGCTGGCTTATTACCATGGGCTGGAAAAGACCCTCGAACGACCGAATTTTCGCTCATTAACAAGCTGTTTCAGCTGTGATGAAAATGTGTCTGGTATGTCTTGAGCGACGCCGAGACACAGTATCCGGGAACGCTGGATTTGAGCCTGTTCCGAGACTCTGCTCGGTCTGTTCATTTACTCAAAGCTTCTAAGATAGAACAGCCTCCGTATCTATGTCTTTCATACCATGTTTTCTTTCTCTTCTCTTTTTTACCAATAAGAATTCGTTCGTTTCAAAATCGCTTCTAGAAGCTAATCATATCAAGAACTTTATAATTAAGTGACGTATTAAAGTCACTCTCGCGGTCAAAAGAAGAAATAAGAAAGGTTTCTAAAAAGCTTGTTAGACGCCAATAACTTTTTATGGGTAACAAACAGTAAATAAAATTTTATCGAACAGATGCCATTCCATTTTTGGCAAACTTCTCATTGAAGACACTTTTTCGAAACAACCTCATGGCTATCAATCCACCAAACAAGACTGAAAAGGCATTGGTAACAGTTCCAGCAAAAATTTTTAGTGGTTAGCATGGCGCAAATGTACTTCGGGTTGAAGAATTTCTGTTATTTTTTTTCAGCCATTCTTTACAAGCTTCTAGTCGTCTTTCGCAGCGCTTTGTGGTCTTCCTGCCCTAGTGCGTTTTCTTCTAATTCGCTCTGACCCTCTAACCTTTGGTGATTTACGCCCAATTCATTGTCACTTTATTGTGATTGGCGGCACTTAAATTCGTATCCGTCCCAGCTTTCTGCCGGATGAAGTGCACTGCCGTGTGATCACATTTAGATAACCGATGCCGCCTTGCCGGCGGCGCCTTTCTTGCACTCCGCCCCAAATCACACCGCCCGAATGAGGAATTCGAATTTGACCGAGTTTGTCCTTAAGAAAATCGTCGCCACAACATCATCGTGTCCAGCGATAACCAGTGCAAATTATCAGTTCCTTATCAGCCATTGCCATCGTTTCGCGTTATGTGCGATCAGATTTCGATTTTTGACCATCCATTGAGATTCTTTCTCACTTTTCGTTTTTAAAATAAAACTTTGTGTTTTCAGATGTTATAGCGACAGAAGTTTATTTAGTGGTGCCCGGATAAGTCGATCTTCTATGTGAAACACAAATGCCTCTAAAACGATCTAGCGTGTTATTGTTAACGAAAAGATAGAGAAAAAGGCATGAAACAACTTTGACCATAAAAAAGCTATCAAATATAGTTCTAAAGTAATTCAATACCAATTGGTCTAATTTTAAAGCATAAGGTAATTCACAATATGCTGGTTAGCTCCCTAACAGGGAGCTCTACTTCGGGTGTTATCACAGTGTGAAATTCGAACTGTGACCTGCTATATCAAAAATCAGAACGATTCTGAGCTTCGCTTGGCAAAACTCATTGCAACGGTCGGAATCGAACTCGACGTCAGGTGGCAGCGGCTCGCTCAAAGGGACTACTGTGGATTAGGCTCCGCCCATATCGGGAAGGAGGTCTCGTACGCGCAGCGTTAGGAGCGACCACCCTACACCGCGATACGACCACCCATTTCGTCTAAGTACTTATTCGAGTAATCTAATAAGCTCGTTATGGTCGCAAAACATCGTGCATCTTAGTTGTGTCATCTTATGTGTGGGTGGGCGGCTTGATTTCTCTTCTATTCTGACGTGTTTGCTATTAGAAACTTTAACAATAACTACAACAAATATTTTAGTTGGCAGCTTTTAAACGTAGAAAAGCTATGGAAGTTTTTTCCAATTGACTAAAAATGAACTGACGTTTCAAACCTTGAACTCATTTTTCTCGTTTTTTACCAGCTTCATTTCACGAAGCCAACGTGTATTATGGAACTATAGGACTTGTTCCTCTCGTCAATTCCATAGTTGAACGGCAGAACAACACCATAACAAAAGACGATCTTGAAGTTTTAAGACAGAGCTCTCACTCTAACGCTTCTATTAAGATGAAGTACTAAAGAGATAGTTTATTTTTTCACAAGAACATTGTCTTCAACACGGCTCTTCTTTTTGCAACTGTTTTCTCACTACCATCACTTGGTTCGGTTGTCTTCTTAAGAAACAGGCGCTGACAGTTGCATGAACGTTTTCTCTTTTCAGTATTCCACACTCCTTAACAGTTTAAAAAGCGCAGCCTTTCCGAGCACCCGCGCGCCTTGCTCTAATTTGCATAGCCATAAACCTTGAAATGCGATTTGATGTGATTCAGAAATATTGATTTTTCTGCTGGTCTATCCCTTGGAAGAGAGTTTGTTCAGAGAATTTTCTGTGAGTTTCCGCTCACTTGGCGCTGATAATTTTAAGGACCTAGTTGTGATTGTATGATATTAGAGGTTATCCCGGACAGACAAAGAGTACTGGAAACATCTCGCTTTAAATCGTCTTTCTCTCGACGAAAACGAACATTAGTGTTTGCCTTTAAATTTATCTATCATATAAAGAGCCACTCATGCGAAACAAAATCTCTTTTCACTTTGCAGTTTTTCAAGTAGCTGGCACGGATGATTTTTCAATTCGTGTTTTATGACGGTTTTATAGCCTACAAACAAACTACGCAAACATTGTCCTGGGAGGTCTTGCCGTCATTCTAAGCTTTTCCATTCTCGCTTTCGTTTGTACAATCGCTCATAATGACCGAATTTTCTTATCTAACGTAAATCGATCTATTAACAACTGCAAAACTCAATCAACTACTAAGGAAATAAGCCTTTACACACTTGTGACTTCTATAAACTCCTCAAGTAGTCTAAAAAAAATTAAGAGTAGAAATAAGGACTGGAAAGACGTACAACCGCTAGTGTCGCGTAGGTGAATCGACTGAAGGAGAACGTTCGCTAGTAGCTGTCATTCGAAATGATCATAAAATTCGAACGCTACCCGAATGCCGTCATTATATTTTGCTCAAAATAGAAAACAGTGAGAGTTGTTCTCCTTATTGTAATTAGTTCTTTCTTCCTTGCAACAGAGCTATGATGCACTACTACAGCTCGCTTGAATAATTCAGGCAGCATCAACTTCATTCGCGAGCACTCGTTTTGAGGGAGCAGCTTTTCACAACTTACTTTGTTCATTCCATCTATATTTAGCACTGTATTTAATCCCGGAAACCTTTCATAAACTGGCTGTTGGATATTTTTGTGCTGTATTGATAGTGAAGGTTCTATCCTCAGTAGGCCAAGTGATAGATGAAGTTCTCCTCATCAAATAATCACAAGTCATTGTGCCTGCATATCTCGCACTATTGAGAGTTTTTTAAGCGATCAGTACCTAATGCCTTGCTCTGCACCTTAATATGCATAAATTGTTATTCTTTTGCAACATTCTTTACCAACATTACATCGCTTTTACAAACCCATTATTCATGCGAAATTACTTCGGAGCCACTTCACACATGTTTTATCGCCTTCACAAATCAAATCAACTTGTCACCGCAAACATGTCAATGTAACAAATTTTATCCACTTAATGACGATTTTCAAGAGTTCATTACCTATTTCATGGCGCATTAGTCGGCGCCCGTTGGCACATCAGCACTGCGTACTTTCAGCCAATCACGGCACGAAGCCACGCCTCGTCGACTACGGTAGTGTCGCGCCGGCGCCGAACCTCAGATGAACCCCGCCACGCTGTCATCGGTTGGCTTCGATTTCGGAGCCTCTGGCAGTCAACCGGAGGCTAATGATCACTTACAGGTTAGTTATCACCCACTTTACGTGAGTGATTTATCACTAGATGTCACTATTACTACTACAACGAATATCACATTACATGCGCCATCATTGCGGACCATAATTGGTAATGGAGCCCATTGATGAAACATTAAGGGCCTAAGTGCCTCATTGAATCGGCACATAACTCTTCCAGTTGACATATTGAAGACGTGCAGCAGTTTTGTGAATCTGAAGCACACACTGACGCGCACACTTCATCACCAATGTCCTCTCTACCAAGAAAGATTTTCCCCACTTTTTATTTCTTTTCATGTTTACAGGTTTAGTAAAACACGGCGCTACATTGCTAATATAAGTTTTCCTTATTCACTATTTAGTGCGTTTTGTTCTCTGTGATGCATAAAAGTTGCCTTTCAGCGGTTGGCTGCCATGACCCAAGGAGTAGGCAAAGACGATCACGATCAAACAGCAGCTCCATCCACTGATGCTGCCCTTTATACAGGTCTCTGTCTTTCTTTGATTTTATAATTTCTAACACAAATTGCACACAAACTTTTAGGGGCAGCTGCTTATATGCCCGGTTACGCTGGTTGGCCTAACTACTACCAGCAGTTCGGTCAACCGTTAGCCCCTGCCACATTTTCTGCATGGCCACCACAATGTTACGCAGCTCCACACTGGCCCAACTATGGTCAGTGTTTATTGCACTATTTCACCGTAAGCATAAAGAACGCGCTTCAGAACGATCTAGAGCGAGTCGCTTGTTAAATATTTTGTAAGTTTTATTTGTATCGGGGATTAGAGGGTAGCATCAGAATCAATTTTCTGCATCGATTTCGCCTTCGCGAGGTCTGCCGAAGAGCGACATGAGCTCTTCCGTTTAATAGCCACTTACGATCGTTAACGCGACTCTGTATGATTTATGTCATGTATCTGCAAGAGTACCATAGTAACGCTGCTTGCTTTCTCTTTTCGAGCATCCTCTACAAGCGTAATACGGCCAACACCTTAGCAACTAGTGGTATAAGCTGCACCGAGCTCTAACTGTAACGGGGCTAGAGGATCGATCGAGTTGTGACTGTTGTGCTTGTGGTGTCCTCTGTTTAGCTGTGTCGCGTGTGAACTGGTAGCAAGTGCTAGTGCGTCGCACGACTTCGGCTATCGATCGATTATCGATCGGCTGTTAGCGCAGAGAGTATGCACGAGTTCTGGCGACGTCCTGGCAAACACACGCGGGCACGCGCATTTTTAGCAACTTGGGCTGTTCATTTAGCACCATCAACTCACGTGTGTTTGTTTCAGCGGCGTCGAAGAAAGGCAGACAGACGTATCAGCGGTACCAGACTAGTGTGCTCGAGCAAAAGTTCCAACAGTCGAGCTATGTGAGCAAGAAGCAGCGCGAAGAGTTGCGACTGCAGACGAACCTTACTGACCGCCAGATCAAGATCTGGTTCCAGAATAGGAGGATGAAGGCAAAGAAGGAAAAGCAACGGATAGACGACCACGGCGAGCATGCACCGCTGCTACCCGCCAACCCTCCAAAAACCCTGCTAGACGACGACGACAAGAAATGGCATATGGGTGGTGGTCAGCAACCTTCGACATGGCCACCAGCGCCGCCACATCCATACCAGTACCCATTATGCCCACCTTAACCAGAGCTAGAACAACGGGTATTTTTATAATGATAAACTATTCAATTCGATCTATATTGATTCTGTGCGGTGTGTATTGTGTAAAGTATTCATGTATATTGCTTGTGTTTGTAGAACAACTCGATCGATGGCAAATACTTTTCATATCGGCTCTATATTTTGTGACTTTAAATCATGTAGTGGCTTGACCGAATACCAATAGAAGCTACTTCGTTTCTGTAACTTACCAGAGTTGCCAATTGAAGTCATTTGCAAATCACGAAAAACCAACTATTTTTTGCCAGAAGTTTTTTATTTGCTAGCAGGTGCCTACTTGTAAATTGTGGGCTTCTCTGCAGTAACTATGTTTGCTCACGAATAGCTCATCAAACTCTCACTGTGTAGAAAGGAGACACTCTTGGATGCGTTACCCAAGCACCTCTCGTATTTTTGTTAACCCTTAACTCATCATCCCCTCAAACCAACTGCACGGCTGGTTTTCATTTGAGCTTAACCCCGCTCTGTCTAGTACCACGTCGCCCAGCGGCTCAACCACTCCAATTTCCGAACATTTGGTTTATGGTATTACAGACAATTGTAAGAAACGTTGTAAGGCTACAAAAACTCTCTTTGGTTGCCAGGAAAGTTTGTTTAAATTTAGGAGTATTAGGCCACAAATAATTCTTATTCGGCAGAGTTGGTTCTCCAGAAAATGCTAAATTACTTAAGGTTTGTTTCTCAAAACGGAAAGAACCCCATGATCTTCCATGTCTAAGAAAGACCTAGTTGGAAAAAGTTGAAGAAAACCGAGGTCAAGGTGTTGAAATTGGAGGCGTGAAAATTTTAGAAGTAAAATCCAAAGGATGACGTACCCTATAGCAAAATGCAGATCTGTTTGAAATGTGTGCAATGATCACAGCTCTTCATTGAAGTGCACGAGGATCATTTTTTTTCTACATTACTGAGCTCAAATGATGACAGGTCCTACGTTGTCAAGTGAATTAATGCTAAAGCAGATCCATGGGAAGGTCTCAGTTGATGCGATTTCTGGGTTCGTCACAGCCCAAACCACCTCCTGGCTGCATCATGTTCTTCCTTTCACACTGTGGCAGCTAACTGTGTTGCTAATTTTCCTTCAAAAAAAGAGCAATGGGTCAAACCTTTTTTGACTAACAACCCAGACATCCTTTGCAATATCTGAAAAATTTGAAAATCTGGTATATGGAGTCAAATGCCACAGTATCAGATCACTAAAGAAAATATGGAAAGTCATTGATGGCACTGGTAGGGTTAGCGTTGTGCTTTAATTCACTTCTCGTCAAATCTTAAGTTAGCACGCTGGTAGTTCATACTAAGTCTTATGTAGTGTTTTTAAAATCTTCTATAAGAACTTTCATCATATGTTTAAAAATCAAACAAGTCACACCTAAAGTGTACTTCACTGTCTCAAAAAATCACTTGCTGAATTCAGCAGGCTCTTTTCAATGGGAAATTACTTTAATGTTGCTCATCATATAAAACCTCACAAGTTCAGTTACGGACGCGTGCAAGAAACGAGGACGGCAGACTTATACGAGGCAGCAAACGCTAGAACTCGAGAAGGAGTTCCACTACAATAAGTACCTCACTAGAAGGTTAGGTCCGATTTGTTGGAGGTCGACATTTATTTCAAATTCTGCTTGCATTTCTTAGACGACGGATTGAGTTAAACCGAAGTCTGGGTCTGTCTGAGCGCCAAATAAAGATCTGGTTTCAAAATCGGCGAATGAAGCAAAAGAAGGAAAGTAAATCGCAAATTGAACATCGTAGCGAATGTGGATAGTCGTGAATCGTGTTCACCGTTGTCAAAGCGTTCTAGTCACTCAAATATCCATCTCATCGACACAAACGTTATCAGAAACTTATAGTTACAATTAATTTTGTCTATAGAACTATAAAGCTTGTCATTCTCATCACTTCTCATTTCTTCACTTCCGTTCCGAGAGCCCTAGAAAGAACTTTGAATGCTTTTTAAAGCCAAACCCCTCAACGAATTGATTCCTGGTGTTGTAAGTGTCCACAGTAATTACCTTCAACCATCATTGTTTATTTCATTGGCTTTACAATGAGTTGATCAAGCAACGAATAAATTGTTTATTGAACGATGGCTCACCAATGAACCAAAAGACGTTCGAAAGTGATTGTAATATACCGTAACCGTCATGTGCCAAGTAGGGCGTGCACTTGTGTCCAGCGGCACGCCGTTTTCCATCGAACGACAAAAACGGGCCTTTAAAGAAGGCGCCGAAATTTGCATGATGATGTCTTCAATAAAAATGAACCGCACATAGGTGAATATACATTTCCAGCGAGATCCGCCACAATGAGTGAACACAGCCAGTGTCGGTTAGCCCCATTGATTTCCCTTGGACGGTATTCGACGTGAATTCCTAAAGCTAATATTTGGTCAGACAACGTTAATCTAAAACTTTACAAGAAATGTTATAACGAGGAATCCTCAGAGAATGATCAAACATTTTGTCCATAAGCGAATGACGCGTGCCATTTTTATTCAGATTGAACATGTTTGCACAAATATCTTACTGTCGTACTGAACACACAAAGCATGCGAAATTGTCTTGCTACCGTATCCCACCACGCACTACCTTATTCATTCGAACGGGTTGCGGTGAAACGCAGGAGGCACAACGCTTGTTTCATCACGACTCAAACCGAATTAGCATCGTCAATTTCGAAAATCAAGAAATGTGCACTTCAAGTAAATCGGACGACAAAGCAGGCTTTTTCTCTCTGCAAAGAGCAATCTCTCCTTTGCAGATGGATTGTTTAATAAAATAGCATTAAAATACTTTATTATCCATTTTTCACTTCTCCAATCTATTGTCTGTTCCCAAGCGCAAGTGTTTCTTTCTATCTTGACTTACAGCGTTATTTCAATAAAGAACTCCTGGGAAAAAATTTGGTCGCGTACCCTTATCTAAATTAGTTCTGCGTTCAAACCGTGATATATTCGTGTGCGCTACCGTAGTCTTTAGCTACCGTACTTGGTTTTGCTCATGTGAATGTACGTGAGCGTGCATGTGTCTGCGCTGCCGGTTTCTGCCGATCAGCGGTCCCAGGCGTCTCGTTGTCTATTGATATTCAGAAGCGAGGGACTGGGAGCCAACTGTGAATTAAACGATAAATCGCACGCGGTTTCATGTGATTTTCAATGGGCCCATAAATGGGCGATTCACGTGTGAGAGCATGACGCTTATAGAGGCGTTAGACACAGTCTCCAGAAAAGCCAGCCAGACAGCCAGACCTGATGAAGACTAGTGTGGCGGATATATATGAATAGGGAATCAGTAGCACCGCATACAAGCAGCTTCTTTCGATTCTTCCTAACAGGTCGACAGTGTCAAATGTGGCACAGCAGATTAATGGTTTAGAACCGAATACTCTGCTTGACATGAAGATCGACGTGAAGAACTGAGTGAGTACTTTGCAGCGTCTTAAACTAAGACTCGCAATATTAAGAAACTTTAGGCCCATAACTTTTCCCAGCAAGTCGTTTAAGAAGGAGGTGAGGTTCCCACTATGCGACGTGATCACGTAATTTGAAAGCAAACAAATTCGGAATGTGAAAATGTAGGTGCTGATGTTTAAGTAAAACCAGTTTATCGGGAATCTTACATGGAACACCTTTTAGAAAGTGTAGAATACATTTACGTTGAAAGCGATGGAATAGTCATAATAATAATAATAGTAATAATAATAATAATAATAATAATAATGGTAATAGTGATGGCAGTGACAACAATAATAGTGCTGAGAAAGAAGTGGTGTTGAGTTTATCATTTATTCCAAGGGATCTGGCAGTTCTGCTTGGAAAAGCCTCAACAGAGACACCGTTGTGCATTTCGAAATTTTCCAATGTGTTTTCATAATGTTTCAGAAAATTTGACGCAATAATAAATAGTCCAACAACTGGACCGGGACACAAAAGGACCAGACCAGGAGATTAGGCCAGGATGCACCAGGACACAAAAGCAGCAGGTGTGAAGATGTGGAAGTGCTCCGTTGGAACATCGTAAACTCATCCGGACAATTTTGACGGCCTTAGCAGAAAGCTTCCCACAAGCCATTTTTTAAATGTATGAACGTTTTTTCACTCGCACTATTCGAAAGCGTTCAAACACCATGAGTAAATATGCAGGTTTCGTCAGTAGGCGTCTTGGAATTCTTTTTAAAAAAGAAGCTATGTCTGGCTCTTAGTGGTTAACAGCTGCGTTAAAGCTCATTTTTTAAACAGGAGAGGTTCCGACCAACTACGGCAATTCCCAATCGATACGAGGTTGACGAGGACATTAGGTGGCCCATTAGGCAGCCGAGCATGTCCGACACCGAGGGGTACGTGGCTAAATGAAATGAGAAAGAAGTCCCTTATTCCGCGCTCGATGAGAATAACGCTCAAGGCTCGATGGTCGTTCAGTGCGGTTATTGGATCTTGCGCTGTTCGAATTTATGACCTCACGATGTCACCGCACAAGAGCACTGATTCATCCATCCGGTGTTGGCTAAACAATGAACTCGAAAATTTTGCTCCGTCAATTTTCCGCTGGCGGTTTTTTTTTGGCGAAAAGCGTGTTGAATGTCGGATTTTTTAATCATGGTTCTATAGGTAGGTCGGCGCCATGTAATTTCACCACGCGACAAGGTCGGTCCACAAAAAAACAACCTCACTTCCTACCTGTTGAAAATGGGGACCACATTAGAGCGACGGAAAGAGAAGAGAAAGAGAGAGAAAGAGAGAGAGTTGATGTGAATCTTGACGAGCGGCAGATGGATGAGCTTTTCAAGAAATTCCTTCCAAATCCAATATGGGTGCAAGAAAAGAGAATCTGCATTTTAGACGTCGTGAAAACGTCTAGGGCAATAATCATCGAGTTTAGCCAACAAAGCTGTCATTGAACGGACCTCATTTCGTTATATTTTGTGTTTGCTATAACTAGCGTCAAGAAATTGGTAAAAATTTAAGAAAATAGAAAAAGTGCTAATTAATTTTAAGCATTTGCGGCTTCTGATATGCTGGATTTTATAAATTTACACTGGCCCTGAGAGCCCTCCAAGACTCGATTTCTGCAATGCCTATGTTTTTTTTTTGTTGGACTCTATTTATGGCCAAAATTTCATGAACGACGTCAAAGTTCACTCATTGAAGCTTGACACCAGCCGCCACGTAAATGAGCACAAGGGCAGACTTTGAAATTAAAATAAGCAAAAACTAATCGCGTACCGTAATCCTCCGTGTGGAGAACGCTCTACACCGCTTGCACATCTAATTACTTAATACTAATCGATTGAGACGTCTGAGTAAAAGTCATTTAAAATCGATAGTAACCGCAATGGTGTATTACGTTCTCTCATCCATACCTGCATTCGATAGAACCTGAGTATTAATTAACCGCACTCACTACGCGACTACTGTAATGAGCCAGGGTTGTTGTGGTTTTAAATACCGTATACCACATGCGGAATAATACGTACCTATTGGAAATGCAACAGACATATGGATTATGCATTGTGAGTGAAAGCCTGAGGGTATGCCAGCCATATTGGAAAGCTTGGAGAAGAGTCAGAGTTATACGCGCTTTAAAAATTACCCTCGAACGGGTGGATAGTAACAGTTCGAAAAAACTTCTAGCAAACCGTTCTTCAAACTTCGAAGGGATTTCATTTTTTTGGTAATCAATAATGGCGTATGCAGTTAGAAAGCTGAAACTGCAAAAGTGATTACAAATCAGCGGTTATTTAAATGGAAAAGAGACCATCAGGATATAGGAAGGAAACAAGCGAAGCGAACTATACGTCGGCCGAGTGCGGAAATGTGAGTGTGTATAAAGCGGTGCCTGCCGCCCGCCGAGCCAATACCATCCATCCAGATGAATTGTATGGCCTCAACCATGGATATGAGAGGGCTCTACTCTCTCAGAATATCATCGATTGATTCTCATAACGCTATTAAGAGCGCATAATGATGTGGACATACATAATTCATGAATAGATTCAGTAGTTAGAGGAAACGTCCTTTGATAAAACTGCGCTAGTCATATGGTTTGCATGTGTCATAGCGTCCCACTAGGTGTTTTTCCACGACGGCATCAACGATTTCCAGGTTTCGGTAGAAATCAGGGCTCACGGTCATGGCACCCGTCCACCAAGTGCGTTTCTGTTGAATAGGTGGTTTCAACCTCTTGTGGATGCAAACGAAATAAATAATTTCGATTTTTCTCATAGAAAGCACGGATATTTAAAATTATATGGTCACTCATGACGTTCTTCAAAAGGGTGAGTTTCACAGCTAACACAATTTTGGCTCGCTTCTATCCCCCTTGAATTATGACATCCTAAGGAATCGAGTTCGATGTTATTTCTTCCGGTGCCAGTTATGTCGAATAAAGAAACGTGATCATAGAATACTTGGTTTTCTTGTGCTCTTATCACCGCAGTGTCCGATCTAACAGCACCGCCGAGTGGGCCAACAAATGTGAATATGTTAGGTTAAATCCACTCTATGCTCATAAAGTCGGCAAAAACTTAAATAGTGACTTTGTTGCTGCCAGTGCTTCCAGGCATCATTTCTTCACGGAACTACGACGTTTACAAAAACAGCAAATGTTGCCGTCGTCGCTCTACCTTCCCAAAACTTACATGCTCAGCAAACGGGACATTAATTGTGCTGTTTTCTATTGCTGATAAACAAATGGCAATTTCCTATCAACTCTGTTTTTGTTCCATTACACATTTTCACTCGTCACTTTGGTAGCCGTCTAGGTATTC